ACAGCAGAAACAAGAATGATTTACCAGCTGGTACTTTTCTAGCTCCTAACACTTCTTTTTATTCTATATATGATGGTATTTATTGGTGCTGTAATTATACAATGTCCCTTGAACAATTTATCATTTAACATCAGCTATTAGTATGGCTTGGTAACAAAGGGTGTAGCCTAATGATCAATGAGGTGGGTGAAAACCTGAAAAATCGGGGTTCACATTCCAGCGGAGATAAGAAACCCTAGGTAATTTTTTTCCATCTATCTAAGCCTTGTCGGGGAGAGTTATCCGGTAGCTATAACATAGGTAACCCAAAGTGAATGCAACTTAAATAGCTTATAGATATAGTCTGCAGTCCAATGTTTCTACTTTTTCACGAACACGGCGTTTAATAATCTAAGATAGAGAAACAAATCCTATCTCTAAAGGGGTTCAACTCAATATGTGTATCCTTTGGCCACCAATATAGCCTTCAAGTCGTCGACTGCTCCATCAACTTTTGTTGACTTTATAGACCCACTTGTAGCCCACTATTGATTTCCCTAGAGGCAAGAAAAGCTCTGTTTCTCTGATAGTGATATGCTGACAATCTTTTCTTTAAAATGGGGCATGTCAATTTTTTGCACTAGGAAGTATCTTTAATTGAATAATTGTGTCGACTACCACCACGCTATTTGTTCCTATTCTTTTGTTTAGTCATCTTTGTGACAATAAAGGAGAATCTCTAATGGTCAGACGGTTTGTACATTTTCCTTTTTTATCTTTCACCCTTATAGGTGCTGTAGTGGAGTCAAAGGCTCAGTTAGTAGGGATACATGAGAGGGTCAGAAGTGATGTTGATGGGAGCATCCCAAGGACAGCCACTGGTCAAGCAAATGTTTCTGTTGGCACTGTACAAGGAGGCAAACCTGTGCCAACTGCGAGCTATCCTGGTGCAGAAGATGCGGCAGAGCTTCTGAGGTAGGGATTATCATTTCGATTGAGCGGTCCATTATCTGAATCTCAACTTTGTGAGCTGGATTAATGTCATTATTATCGTAAATTGAATGCTAGAATTAGTTATATGTGTTTGGTATTTTTAATTTTCTGTATCTTGTGCGGTTCACTTTAGTGAAGCGTGAGCTTCACCTCTTGTTTTACACTTCAAACTCCATGGACCTTGTCATTTTGGCGGTTTTCACTTTTAAAAACAACAATTTATTTTTAAGAATGTCATTAATATTTGAAATACGTGTACGACTAGATAATTTTGATAGTTGACACCCTACTAAAGGTTTTAATATTTCATACGCCTTTCACTATCTCGAGATTTCAAATGCATTTAACGCTTAAGTTTGAATTACAATGTCATGTGTTTTCCTTTCCTAACCTTATAAACAAGCTCTAGTACTTAATTTTATACTTTTATACTATTACTAACACATTGTATAAGTATAAGTCAAACTAAGTTATTAAGCTGTGCGATGGTGAAAATTGAAGACATAAAAGGCAATCGAGGGGGTTTACTAAATAAGATAAACAATCCTACCATAGAGACCAGATTTACAGCTGCTGTATCCATTTGAATCATAAGTAAAAAAAAGATGCTTTTTACAAAGGCGCAGCTGTTGGATCCAGTGAGGAGCATGGTTTGTTTTTGGTTGGTTTATTGTTGTGAACCTTTGAAGTAGATGCAGAAGATATTGGACATAACATATTGGTGAAGATTTAGAGACCACCTTTTATTAGCTTGACTGCCTGAGAAGGATGAACATAAAAATAGTAGATTTGAAAAAATAGCATCCATGTAAAACTTCCTGCATGCATTTTCATGTATGGTATGTGGTTGCAGAAGTGTTTAGTATTGATATCCTTTGAATCTCAGTTTTGTCAATCTAGCTATTAAAAACTATCGCCTATGTTTTTCCTGTGGCTGACCCCACCTGCCTGTAAAGAAGGGCAGGAAGGGGACTGAGAACGATTGAAGTCAAGCTCTAAAGTCCAGACAATTTTTTTTGCTGTCTGGAATAATCACTTCGCACTAACGTTGATCATTTGCTTTGTTAGTTGTACTAAGTTCACATTTTGCTTTAACGCTGTGACGAGACTAATTTATGATGCAATTTCTGTTATCATTGAAAGAGAACATCGCTGCTGTTTAATTATTTTCCTTGATTCAGCTTTTAATGTATCTCTCCTTTTATTAAGTGGTGATGACTTGTGAGATTTTATCTTTGTGTTAAGCTGAAAACTTCCCTCTTGTTTTCAATTTGGACTCTTGGCGCCAAGAGAAATCAGCAAAAAGGAAAAAGAAAAGGATCATGCTTGATGGTTGGACTGGATCTGTTAAACCAATACTCAGTTCATTTGTGTAATTCTATAGTTGTTGATAAGTTTGGAACCAAAGTTAGGTTGACAACTTATAGAGGAGCAGCTACTGATTCTGCAAGAAGTATTTTTTGTTTGTTTTCATCGGTGGTGTATATAAGATTATCAATTGCTAGCATGCAGAGAGTGTTCGGGAAAACATAAATACATAACCATTGGATACATAATATCCTATCCTAGCATGATTATATCCTGCAAAGTAATTTTTTTTTTTTTTGGGGATGGTTATCCTGCAAGTAAGTTTTTGCTTTTCAACACTTCTATTTATCTCGAATCCTCTGAGAGGTGATAGATTTTAGTGATTAATATGGCTATTCCTATATGTGGTACCCGCAATTCAAGCGTCATGAGTTCAGGCCTCCCATCTTGGCTACCGTACTTATGTTTCCCTAACCAAAAATGGCATAGAAAATATGTCAAGCAGTGGGCTCATTCTTTTCTCATCCTGCTTCACCCTTTGTTGGGTTGCACTAGTGATGAATTTAATTGTAGACGCCTAGATGCATTAGCTTGAATTTTTCTAGAAGTGTTCATTGCCATGGCAACACTGTGAACCCCACTATAATTTCTGTTCCCTCCAGGGTAGGGCAGTCCCTGCAAAGTAAGAACCGCACCTCTATTTAACCTAGTACGTATTAGTTCTTTTTCTAGAGACTGCTGAATGAACTTTCTTTTTCTTTTTTCTATTGGATGAAGTATATGCCGCATTAGGATGTGATTAGGATTATATATCATTATATGACAATGTGACTATGTGTGCTAGTTCTTTTATTGAGAGTATTGATTGCAGTTTCATTTATATACTATCTTTTGATGAAATGCATCTTGTATTAGGATGTGCTTGAGGTGTGGAATTCCCAAAACATACACGCACGCAAGAGGGATGGTGTGCCCAGCTTGCAGTGATCGGCCTGTAGACACTGACGAAGAGCCAGTCAAGAAGAAGGGCTCTACCATTAAAGACAAGGAGAAGAATAAGAGGATGAAGGGGCAGTCGTCCCATGCATCATGGAAAAGCGAGACAGAAATGCATCTCCGCCAGCAATTTGACTAGTCAAGTCTACAACAATTGGGTCGAATTATATGTAGGTCCTCCAGTGGCATAATCAATCAACTCTGTACTTTTAACAGATCTACCCGGCTGAAGTGAATTTAGGAATTGTGCATAACCTGTGATGTAGATTCTGGTTGGTGTTAAAGCTAAAGTGCCACCACTTTGTTCTTTTTTGGCCTCTTTGTTCGTTTTCCTCAAGATGTATCACATTTCAACTGAAATTGGGTTTTAGATACTTTTTGTTTGGAAGAAGTCGTGCAGTCAACAAGTGCTTCAGATAGAAAGGATTGCGTCTGTTAATGATCACTTGTTTTAGTTTCGATATAGCTAATGATTGTTTGGCCTTTTATTCCATCATATCCAACGTATGCATTAGTGTCTAAGCAGACAACAGTGCCAGTGGTTTCTTGGCAGTGTTAAATGATGATCTAAGCTTAACGAAAAACCGTTTAATTTATCTAAGGTAACTCATGATATGGTGAGGTGACATACCTCTGTTCTACAGTTATCAAGAAAAAACAGCTGCTTAGAAAAGACTCTTTCTTTCAATAATACATAAAGTAGGCCAGTTTCTCTCCGAGGGATCAAGTGAGAAATCCAGATATCTTATGATTAAATGCAAATAGTTCATTGTATTAGTGGGAGGTGGCAATGCTCGATGGAATTGTAGAAGTGCATTAAAGCTAATCCAGACACCTGGATCACCTCCATCTTAAGAATAAAAATGACAAATAAATCACAAAGCATAAGAAAGAAGGGTAATTGGGGTTGAGAAAATTCTATGCACAATTACAAATAAAAGTTTGCTTTTTAAATGGTTTGCGGAGATTTAGGAAAGGGGTAAAAATGGTTTCAGAGAAAAGTGGTCGAAGGGAGTTAAGAGTTTTGATGCACAAAAACCAAAGAAAATTTTCTTCTTGGGAAAACTTGACCAGACACTCATTTAGAGGGTTTAGAGTTTGGTCCTACTGTTGACTTCATCATACATCACGTAGATCAATTTCTCGACTTAATGAGGTTTGTTTATGATCATGGGACATTGTTGCCACAGATCCAAGTTTACGACTGGAAATTGGTGAGGGTCAACCAATGCCTTGTAAGATTGTCTAATATTTACCTTTCTTTGTCGGAACCTGATTCACTGGCTGGAAAGCTAATAAGAAATGAGTGTTATGCAGAAGTCCTATTGTAAATTCACCAACGGTCATCACATTTTTAGTTTACTGTACCAAAATCACTAAAAGTTTTTGTCACTTAAAAAATAAATAAACTTTTTCTACACTGCTCAGAAAATCAAAATGCTAGAAAAACATATCAACCGACATAAAAAAACAAATAGACATGCCAAAATACCACCATGCGAATTTCAATTAGTCCCTAAACTTGGGATTTAATGCAGTATACTCATAAAATTCCATAAATTATTTTTTCATTGTAAAAAGTTACCGCCTCCCCTATCTATCCGATAAATTTCTAGCGAAAATATTTTATCGAGTAAGTTTTGCTAGATAAATATTAGTACATTACAAAAATGTATCTCATATGATGGCATGGCATAGACATATATATTAAAAACAATTGTAAATGATAATAGGAAAAAAGAATTTACATATCACATAAATTCTTTTACATGTTACGACAATGTTTCTTTCTCATATAATGACAAAACATAGCCATATACACAAAAAATAAAAATTATCGTGCAAGTTATATCAGGCAAATGTATTGATAACATCATTTTACCCTAACAATGTTTCTCATAGGCCAATTATAACCCCCAAGATCCTAACACTAGACTGTTCAAGAGAGTATACTCTAAGCCATCAATCGAGTAGAATTTACAATTGTTTGAGTCGCGGTTGCCAAGTATATTCAACCCTTTATTTCTCCACCCCTACCTGACCCAAAAAGGAAAGACGTAGAACCACTGTTTAGGTCGACTCCACTATGCTGTCACTCTTTGATATGTTGGCAATTGTCCTTTGTACATTCATACTCTTATTCACTGCAGAAAGAAAAGAAACACATTCACCTATTAGAACCAATAAAGCATGTTCAGCAGCTTCCCCAGCTACATTATCTTCTTCCTGAATCCTGATGAAACAGCTACTGAGCTCACTATCTACGTGGAAATTAATATAAGCCCACCAATAGAAGAGGAAGGATAAAAACAAGCAATCTTGGATTTCGCTTGCAGGTTGCAGAATTTGCACAATCAAATACTTCAACAATTTTCAGCAAACAATGTCTAAATCTGTTTGTTGTTTTCATGTAAGCAAAATCACATCCCCAATTTAAAGAAGGAAAAAGAAAAGAGGAACTATTTATATAAAAGCCCCGCCTACACTCCAGAAAAAGGAAAGGCATGTAATGAACTAATTCAAGGCTTGAAGATATCAGAATTATAGAAAATGCTCAGTTCTCAGATGGAATTAGGTGTTCAAAATCTGCATACAGAAGAATGGATTATTGTGCATGGATCCTGTGAGTTAAAGTGGTAGTCACAAAGATGGATTGCAAAGTGAAGATAAAAAGAAACTGATTGTGAAAGCCCATTCAAAGAGATGCAACAAAATGGACTGGAAACATCTCCAATAAAACATCCAAAAACATGTAAAATACCTTGTAACATATTGTTGATAGGCCCTATACATGGCCAGCATAATGATTGAATGTAGACACCACCATCGGTCTTGAAGTAAGTATTTAAGGTCAGTTATCGGCAACTTTTCGCTCTCGTTTAGCTGCATTTCTCCACGACAAATCAAGTTCTCAGACATCACCAGCTGGCAACTCAGAGAACCATGGATCTGTTCATTGATTTATCAGGATAAGGTCTGATCCGCCAGAATGTCAAACATGAATGTTGTTTAATATTAGAAAAGCTTACTGTGGAAGGGGACCTCAAGCCAAGGAATCAGGGGCAGGTGTTACAGATGAGCCTGAAGACCGAAGGAAGAGCAAATGTGCAATAGATCGATCTAAAGAATTGGTGTCTCTTTCCATGTCCATATACCCTTGCCATCTGCAATACAAGCCATTAGAATCTAGGAAAAATTACGCGACACAACAAACATATACACTGTATTTATCATTCGTAGCTTTACTTTCAGAAAATTACCATTCTTAGCTATATTTGAATTTTATAGCAAATACAGGTAGATCAATCGTTTTAAACTGAAACAAGAGCACAACAAGCTCTTGTAGCTCAATTGGTTAGAGCACCTGTTTAGTAAGCGGAGGTCTTGAGTTCGACTCTCTACGAGTGCATTGTAATTTTCTGTATTATTGTATTTCGCCTTGGTTGTAATCGTTTGTGCGACGAATACAGTCGATACATATTGTATTCTTTGTATACACCCATGTATTTCGATGAAGTAATGAGTTTTATAGAAAAAGGCATCAAGAAGATGCAAGAAGTACCCATGTATTTCGCCTCAGTTGTATTCATTGCGCGAACGAATACAATTGATACAACTTATATTCGTTACGCGAACAAATACAATTGATACATGTTGTATTCGTTGCGCGTCTAAATACAAGTGATACAAGCTGGTAAGAATTGAACAGTAGCTAAGAACATTAATTAGGCAAACTATAGTTACGTATGGTAATTAGGCTTTAAGTTGTAATGCTTTATAAAAATTTCACCTCTGATGTCCGCCAACTGACCCTCAACCTCCCCACTTCCCCCTCCCCCCATCCAGCCAAACAGAAAAAATGAAGACCCCCTAACTTGCTGGCTTAGTTTTTCACTAACTTGACCACCTACCTCCCCCTTCTCTTTCTGAAACCCCCCTCCCCCTAAAGAGGAATGTCTAATTTCCGCAATCGCCACTAACATAACCTAACAGTCCTATTCCTTCGCCTGGTAAGATTGAGCATAATACTATGATTTGGTCGTCAACCAAACAAGCACAAATGAGATCTACCAACATTATTTGGCAGAAAAAACATGCTCCTACAGTACCATCCTGTCCATTGAGATGCCTTGCTAAACTTGTGAACATGAGGTTTCTTAAGATACCAGAAACAGGAAAAAGGGGAAAACAAAAAAGATCAGGAACTGCATTCTAAGGATTTAGAAAGACACTCGTTACCTCGAGAGAAATGTAAAATGATCAAATTTTGAAAAAGAATGATGGAAGATTAGAGATATATTGGAAACTTGATAATTTGAAAATACAAGACATACCTATTAAAGGTGTCAAACACTATAAACGTGATATCTTTCCAATAAACAGCAGTATCTTAATAAGAACTTAACAATTCTAGACTCCTAATTCCAACGACATGTATATTAATTTCAACAATCGATAAGCTTTCGAGGTTCTAACTGTCTATCCTTTTCTTTTTCCCCAAGCAATAACTTCTTGCACAGAAAACCCTGCTTCAGTCATCTTAGGATGGGGAGGGGTAGTGGAGACTTGAGAGCACTGTCTACTTATCAACCATAGGGTGCAATCTTTGGAAACTAGAAACGGTAATTTAAAATCCACCTTCCTGCTTATTTCTCTAGATTGTTGTGCACAGTTTAATGTTTATAATAGAACCTGAACAGTTCTACTCTGTACTATTGGGCTCCTTAATCACAAGACTTAGTACTGTACGTACTGTCTATCGTCCTGAAGAAGCCCAGGGGTGACCAGCCAATGGCAAACCTGGTACAAACTCTGTTTTCTAGCAAAATGCATAAATGATCAACGAGAAACCCTAATGGATAAAAAGAAATTGAGCAGAGTTCTGAACTTACACTACTAAACAGATGCCACTTTAAATTCGGGATACTATTCAGGCATTCACACAAAAGACCTCGCATCTGTGAGGTAAGCTAAATTAAGCTCAAGCATGATGCCAAAATATACATTTAACTGGCTGCTCACAGAAAGCTTGTAGTACTAAATGCATTAGAACTTGTGCAATGCAAGAACCAAGATCACGCGCTATCCTGAGAAAATATTATGCATGCACATTAAAACAATTGTAATACGAGAGTCAAGATTATGAGATGTTTTGAGAAGAATGGCCCTTAGCGCTCAAGAAATACTCATACTTGTTTGTCCTTTTGAAAGTCAATGCTTGGCTTCTATCTCTATCATCTCCAGAGTCATTAATGACATTAGCATCTCTATGCCTTTGTTCAGCACTCCGAGCCAACCGGTACAAGCTATCCCTTATGCATAGCTTTGTCCTTATATCCAACTAAACCAACAAAGTAAAACATAATTAGTTTTATAAAAACGAAAATACCGCGAATCAGTCAATTTTTCAGCAGGACTGCTAACTGCTACACCTCAACCATTCAGATTTGAATAATCAAGCAAGCAAAAAACAAAATTTCAAAAAATAAAACAAAAGCTTTTAAGGTGTTACCCCATAAAGAAGCAACATATGTGTGCAACTAGATGATGAGAAATGAAACAGTTTAGCTTTAGTAGATCTCCAACAGTAACATGCCCATAAGTGTGTATAACTGCAAGCCTATAATATACTATATCCATCTAAACCACAGCAACATGTAAAATATTTCTAGCACATAATATGATGCTAGAGCAATAAATATATTTGCTTCAGATTCGAACCATCAAATCTAAGGTCGGTTGGACATGTAAGGCTAAATAAAATATTCCAGCTTAAAGTAATGAACTCGCATCAAACAAGTTTGAACACATACTACTTCCATAGAGGGACACTCGGACCAAAAAAATAAGGCTTGCTTGACATGTAATTTTGAATTAATTTTCCAACTCAATTAAATAAATTCATCACCAAACAAGATTGAAACACATGTGAATTTTGTAGAGATTCTGTTTACCTGTTCTGTGACATGTTGAAGCTGATGAAATCCAGCAGTTTCTTCTGCTACTTCATCCAACCCAGAACTAATGGAAGTGCTCTCTGCTATAATTGAGGAACCTAATTCTGGTGGAATTCTCGTGCTAATGCCTTCAGGATCACTGCTATTTTCAAACTTAATTCCAGAATGCTGAAGTAGCTTCTCCTCCTCCTTTTCACTTGTTGTGATAGTACCCATCTGAAAAGAAGGATCAGGAGAGCTCTGCCTACACTGCAGATGATTTGGTGCATAGCAGTCCTTGGGAGAAAGGGACATGGAACCATTATTTCCAGATTTGGTAATCGATGAAGTTGGGTGATGGACAATTTGATCTGAACAACTGTAATCAGACATGTAAGAAACACTACTATGTAAGTAACCAGTCTCATGTTCATGAGCTTCATTTTGCTGAGGAATACCCGATGATATCAAATTGCCTTTAGGTCCAGTGGCCTCAGTAGAATGTCTTCTCTCTTCTGAAAGGCCATCAATATTACGCAAGGCATCACCATTTTCTATAAAAACACATTTTCTCTTTCCTTCCGATTGGTTCTGGTGATTTGCGTGCTTCTTATTTATATTATTCTGTGGAGAACCACACAAGCAAAATTAATAAAAAGAGGGGGAATCATTGTTGACTATCTTTATGCAACAGCAGTCAAGATGAATACACCCAATTCTTTTTGACAAGATGACTCAACAATCAACCTAATTTACAATTAGAAAGTCCACGTATCACAAATTAAGTAACGAAGAATGATATAAATTTTCAAAACAAGTTACCACACCCTAGGAAGAATTTAAATTAATATTGGTATCGCACTTTCAGGATGAACTGAGCCCATGCTAAGGTTATGAGATCTCATTTTACATTAACGCGCGCACGCAGAGAAAGATCATGAATCGTGGAACTACCATCATTTTTAAAATTTACCATTACACTACCGCTGATCCTCGGTTGACTGTTATTCAACATCTCAACTTGGAGTCTATCAAAAAATTCTACTTTCTCCAAACGCCCACCTCAGAAATAACCCAACACGGAACGCAAAGTAAGAGAGAAGAATTTGAAGTACACCAAGACAGAATTATACTTACTTTCTTTTGAGGTACTAGTTTGCACTCTGAATTACTTGATCCATTCACAAAAGACAGATGGCTCAGATTGGCCAATTCATCTTTCTGTGAGGGCCACAAATTTCTGTTATAGCTAACTGGTTGACTTTTAATGCCAGAATCACTAATTGAACTGCCCATTTCCTCTGTTCTTGAAACTTCAAGACTGCCGTTATTTTTCAGTGCACTGGATGTTGAGTTTTGACACTGAATATCTGACCTCAATCGATCTCTAGATCCTTCAATAGCATCTGATGATGCAAACCAACCAAGGCCATCCTCATTGCTGGCTCCAAGTCCAAATGTCGAATCACAACTGCTGGAGAACATCACAATAGTGAGTACTAGTTTAACTAGAATTCCTCCATTTAAACATGAAAAAAAAAACATAGGACAATTGAAAGCTTCACCTCACTGAATATGAAGAAAGCAATTACCTGAACATCATGTCAATATCCTCAAAGTTCCCCATCTCAGACCAGTTATAATACAAGAGATCATTAGTGTCTTTATCCACCCGGTTGTTGTCAAAACAACTCAGATCATTATCTACCAGAGAAATGGGACCAAGTGGAAAGCTACATGAGTTTTCCCCAATGGCAGCTTTCTTGTTGTCCAAAATGGGGCCATTTTGGCAGAAGTCACTGTCAATGGAGTCTACGTTTTTACGTTTGAAGCAATGATGCAATGTCCCAACATTTAATGAGCTTTTTCCACAGGTATTAGGCAACACAAAATCAGGTGCATCCGCCCATAAGTCCTCTTCTAACATCATGCTGCTGCTACTATTTAGTGGAGGAACTTATTCTTGCTCCTATCGCTGACTAGAATATTTAACTGTAGATTAATTTCCCACAATACTTGATTAAACCACCTCCTTGCACAGTTATCACTCTTGGAAGGAATTCACCAACACATCCACAATAGGATATTGCACTATATGATTATCACTATCGCAAAACTTGTCCCCCTCTTTAGCTTCTAGCTGTAATACCTGAATTTTAGCTGTAGAAACTGCAGAGAACATTTGTCAAAATGAGTTCACCAAGAGTAGAATTTAATAAAGTTCAATTTGAAAAATGAAAAAAGCCAGATGAAAGTAGAATGATGACCCATGCCAATCTAGAAGATACTAAAAGTTTAACCCGTAAGTCCTGAGAGATTATGAGTAGTCACAGCTACTGAAAGACAATTTCATGGTATATTAACCTATTTTCAAAAATAAAATAAAAAAATTACTGTATATTAACTAGGCCTCCATACCAATTTGGCAAAGAACATTTACTGTATTGAGAGAAAATCAAGAAATTAAAACTAAAGAATAAATTTAGGGGGGGGGGCAAGTTGTAAAAGGAGAAGGTGAAATAATTCAGATTCCAGAAACCACAACAACATCAATCCAGTATAGTCCCACAAGTTGGGTCTGGAGAGGATAGATAGTATGTAGACCTTGCCCCTATAGAGAGGTTGTTTCTAGTAGACCCGCGACACGAGAAAAAATGAGAAAAGAGCAGTAGCAACAAGCATGTCAAGCAATAACGAGAACAAAACAAAAGAAAACAAGGCGAAAGGAACAACATGAAGATAGAAATCTACAATATTAGAATACAAGACTGCCACTAATAATGAGATTCCAGACACAATGGTCTCTTTTTCTCATTTGGTCTCTCTTTTGGCTGGAGGGAAAAGAATAAATGTGAGTTTCACAGTATCTATTATCTTAAAAACACGCAGACATAATATAAAAGATGGTTGAACAAACAGAAAAATAAGCAAATATCAGCTTAACAAGAAAAAGAGCAAACAGTGTTCATAAATCACTGGTATTTGCTAACTCAATTGACGAGTAGTAACGGGACGTGGATATGAAGTTGGTAACGCTACCCTTTTTTATTTATTAATTAGAGGTACGCCTCTTTATTATGGACAAAAAACTAGCTAAATTATCACAATAAGATTAACAAAAGAATCTAGTATACAGTAATTAATCGTTTATTATCTTCATAAAAATTATCATTTCTTTTACACTGAGAACTTGTTATACGAGCCAAATTTCCTTTTTTCTTTCTTTTTTGGGGCCAATCCGTGTAGAAAGGGAAACTATATATATATATATATATAGGTAACGCATGTTATTAGTATTTCTCAATCAAGTGCTAAATCGGGTTCAACTAAGTGAAATCATCAGTTAAAGAGGTATCACACAGAAACATTCAAAACAATAATTTCCAGATTAAAAAATTTCGCAATCTTTTCAGCAACAAATCAATTCACAAGCTGGAAACACTGAAAATACAGCAAAATTAAAAGGGTAAGATAATTTTACTGTCGGAAAGCTCACCAGACAACCGATAAATCTCCAAAAGAACGAACTTTGCCGGAAAATCAATACTGTAATTCCAGAAACCCTAATTTGATTCTCAGGAAACACAGATCTTGGAAGTTCTGTATAGGGAGAGAGGAAAGAAGCTTTTTGTTTGCTTTGAAACTTTCTCGTATTTTTAAATATAAGTACGTGGAAAGCCAAGTGGGCAATGAGATCAAATTTGTGGCCTTAAAACTTCTAGGGGTTTTTTGGGGTATCAAAATTCGTGGACGAGAGGAGAGGGCTAAGAAACGATCTGTTTTCAGTAGTTCATTGGTCCACGTAAGAGGAACAGACACGTGTCAGCTGCTTGCCATTACGAACAGTTGAACAACTTGAGACGCGTACATTTCAGTCAATATAAAGTTGATTTCTTTTTCACATTTATTCTCTCTCTCTCTCTCTCT